ACAAATCCAGCCCTTTTCTGGCCCCCGCCCCGCCCCCCACAAAGCCATCTTTCTTCCCTGTAGGGGCGAAAGGCCACCCACCCCGCCATCCTGGCATTCCTTTCAAGCAGCTGCCCGTCGGCTCCCCGGAGCTCTCCACTCCGCTCCACGCTGTCCCCGCCACCCAGCACCGGCGTCCCAGCTGGGATGGAGCGGGAGCAGAGTCCAAGCTCCTGCCTAGGATGCGGGAAACCTTTCCACCCGCTGGAGACTCCTCTGTAAATGGGTCTTCAATTCCCAGCTCCCCACTTCAAATGGTACTCAACGCCTCTTCCCGGCCCTGGGGGCTAGGACCCTGTTCCGAGGCAGCCTCTCCAGTCTCTAGCCCCTCTTCTAGGGTCTAGAGTAGGCGGGGTGGGGTGGGGATTGCGGCGTGAGCTAACCCAGAGCCAGGGGGAGGCCGGCGCCCTCAGATCGAGCAGGGGGCTGCGGCTGGGCCTGAGGTCCGGGCATCACACTGGCCGCCAGACAGCAAGGCCGGGCGCCCACTCGGGACCCAGCGGCAGGCGCAACCGGTCGAGCGCCCCCGCATCTCGCACCGCGCCCTGGCTCCCCCTCGCGGTGCCGCAGTCCCAGCCGCGCCTCTCGCGCGGGCGCAGCTCCGCCCATCATGACGTCGCAGGGTAGGGCAGGTCCCCGGTTATAAAAGGTGGAGCTGGGGGGCGGCGGCAGGTCTCTGCGCAGCCGAGCCCGCCGGTCCACGCCGCGCACCGCTCCGAGGGCCAGCGCCACCCGCTCCGCAGCCGGCACCATGCGCGAGATCGTGCACATCCAGGCGGGCCAGTGCGGCAACCAGATCGGCGCCAAGGTGGGCGCGCCGCCGCGGAGGGGCCCGGGCTGGTGACGGAGGGTGCGGGCTGGGGCCGGGGCCGGGGCAGGGGCGGGTGTGGGAAGCCTCGGTGGCTCGGGGCTGGCCGTGTGGTACATTCCACGGAGAGGCGGGCGGGCAAGGCGGGGGAGGCTGCACAACCCGCCAGGATGCCCGCGGCCCCCGTAGCCGTGTGAGTCTTTAGTCGGCGCCGTTTCGATTTCCCTGGGACACAGCCCTTCTGCGGGACGCAGTTGGCATTCCGCTGGGTGTATTAGTCTCAGAAACTTGGGGCGAGGATATGGTCATATTTATTCCGCTAGCTTCATGAGATATTTAATTTGTACATTTTTCTCAACGGTTTGAATGAAAACATGCAGTGTCACTGGACTGACAGGTGTAACAGAGGCTTCCCTTTGGGTCAGACAGGCGAGGGTGTTAGATAAATTCCCTTGTTCCCTATTTCCGGCACTGTCTAGACATGAAGACTTATAACGCCATAGTCTTGCTGCCAGTCCCTGAGGTGGCAGGTGACTGTGCTGGGTGGGGGCTGCAATTACCGACCGCTGTGTGGGAGGCAGCAGCCGGCTTGCTGCATGGGTGGGGGTGGTGCCTGTACAAGGACGTGGTCTCTTTGAGAACCGCCATGTTGCCCACCCAGCCTCCCCGCCCCCTCCCTGTCTTAAATTCACAATGGAGCCAGCGCCCTCACCATGGCCAGCTCCTTCCACTGCCGCCCAGGCGTCCTCCCAGGTTCCTGCTGCCCTTCCCTGCCCAGTCTCTCTTGTGGTCAGTGCCAGCATGTAGATCGGTGGCTTAAACCTGCACTGTTGCAGGGGTGCCTGGGATCTGTGCCAAGAGAGCTTGATTCCTGGAGGCTGCCACAGTGTGGGCTCCCCTGTCCTCAGTCCTGCCACGACCCATCAATCATCCCCGATGCAATGGCATTCAGCCCTGCCTGGGGTGACAGAGCCTCCCTGTACCACTTTCCCACCTCTCTACCCTCCTGACCCTCTCTCTAGAAGGGCATCTGCTGTGCCCCCTCCTCCTCCAGGGCCCCTCCCAGCCTTTCAGTCTATCGCCATAATATGGCCGATGCTCTGCGGATTTTCAAGCCCCTCAGCAGCAGCTGCTGCAGGAAATAGGGGGTGCAGCTCTTTGCTCTCTGTCTAGCACTTACCGTCTGACCACAAAAGCCCCTGTTCCAAGGACATGGGAGGAGGACAAGGCCATCCTTAGTGACATTCAGGACGCTGGGCCATGGTGTGGTTCTTTTTTCATTTCAGTTTTGGGAGGTCATCAGCGATGAGCATGGGATCGACCCCACAGGCAGTTACCATGGAGACAGTGACTTGCAGCTGGAGAGAATCAACGTGTACTACAATGAGGCTGCTGGTGAGTAGCGGGATGTGTTAGCAAGAAGATTCCTTCTTCCTAACAGGAATCCTTGCTTCCCATGCTGTGGGAGATGAAGTGTCCTAGGAACATGCACATGACAAAGGCATGCTTCTTGCATATTCATTTCAAATGCCAACTGCTGGAAAAACACACGTAATGGTTCCCTAAGAATCCTGCCTGTTCGCCACGGCTAAGCACACTCAAGACCTCCTTTTTCTTAAAAGCAGAGAACCTCCTGTTCTCCTTTTGTCTCAGATGCTGGAGCTGTCTTTAATGAATGTTGCTGTGAGTTCCCCCCAAGGACAGGTCTGAGTCAGTTCTCGTTCCCCGCAGGTAACAAATATGTACCTCGGGCCATCCTGGTGGATCTGGAGCCTGGCACCATGGACTCCGTCAGGTCTGGACCCTTTGGCCAGATCTTCAGGCCAGACAACTTCGTGTTCGGTATGTAGTCACCATCAGTGGGAACTGGCCAAATGCCACACCTTCTTCCTCACAGCCCTGCAAAGCACAGTTCTTAGTGTTCACTGCCAAGGTGACACTGTGTCCACGGGCAGCCCTGAGTCCTGGCCTAGTTCCACCCAGTCCACGGGTGGTCATGGCTCAGAGATCCACACCAGCCTGCAGAGGGCTGCTGCAGCCCTCCCATTACAGAGCAGCCTCAGACTGGAAGAAAGAGCAAGGAAAAGCTTCAGGCCAGGTTTCATAGGCTACGGGCAACTTGAAAGGACTTCAAAGAGCCAGGGGCCAAAAGTACAGGTTATGACTAGAGCTTAAACTGATGCTAAAGCCACCTTCTCTCCTGGTCACCTTGAATATAAAGAGAATGCCTGTTTAAAATGTATGTTTCAGAACTGTGGCCAGGCAAGGTGGCTCACACTTGTAATCCCAGCACTTTGGTGGGAGGCCGAGGCAGGCATATCAGGTCAGGAGTTCAAGACCAGCCTGGCCAACATGGTGAAACCCTGTCTTTACTAGAGATACAAAAAAATTAGCCAGGTGTGGTAGTGTGCACCTGTAATCTCAGCTACTCAAGAGAATGAGGCAGGAGAACTCCTTGAACCTGGGAGGTGGAGGTTGCAGTCAGCTGACGTTGTGCCATTGCACTCCAGCCTGGGAAACAGGGTGAGGCTCCATCTCAAAAAAAAAAAAAAGTAGGTATTTCAGAACCAACTAAGTTTTCTAACCCTATCCTCTTCCTCAGTCAATAGCCTCAGATGAGCTAAACTTGCTTTTTACTTTATTATGAGCCCATGTTTTTGAGGCTCACTGACAAAAATATTTCTTTAGGTAATAGAAGAGTATTCAAAAGAGAAGAATCTGCCAGTGTAAGATCAGTCCTACACTCTCCTCCATAGTCAAAATGACAGATTTTGAAATTCCTTATGTCTGAGTGTCTATATGTCTGAGTGTCTAATAGTCACTTTCCCTCTGGCAGGCCAGAGTGGAGCCGGGAATAACTGGGCCAAGGGCCACTACACAGAGGGAGCTGAGCTGGTCGACTCGGTCCTGGACGTGGTGAGGAAGGAGTCAGAGAGTTGTGACTGTCTCCAGGGCTTCCAGCTGACCCACTCTCTGGGGGGCGGCACGGGGTCCGGGATGGGCACCCTGCTCATCAGCAAGATCCGGGAGGAGTACCCAGACCGCATCATGAACACCTTCAGCGTCATGCCCTCACCCAAGGTGTCAGACACGGTGGTGGAGCCCTACAATGCCACCCTCTCTGTCCACCAGCTGGTGGAAAACACAGATGAAACCTACTCCATTGACAATGAGGCCCTGTATGACATCTGCTTCCGCACCCTGAAGCTGACCACCCCCACCTACGGGGACCTCAACCACCTGGTGTCAGCCACCATGAGCGGGGTCACCACCTGCCTGCGCTTCCCCGGCCAGCTGAATGCAGACCTGCGCAAGCTGGCGGTGAACATGGTGCCCTTCCCTCGCCTGCACTTCTTCATGCCAGGCTTTGCGCCCCTGACCAGCCGGGGTAGCCAGCAGTACCGCGCGCTCACGGTGCCCGAGCTCACCCAGCAGATGTTCGACTCCAAGAACATGATGGCCGCCTGCGACCCGCGCCACGGCCGCTACCTGACGGTGGCTGCCATCTTCCGGGGCCGCATGTCCATGAAGGAGGTGGACGAGCAGATGCTCAACGTGCAGAACAAGAACAGCAGCTACTTCGTGGAGTGGATCCCCAACAACGTCAAGACGGCCGTGTGCGACATCCCACCCCGTGGCCTGAAGATGTCGGCCACCTTCATCGGCAACAGCACGGCCATCCAGGAGCTGTTCAAGCGCATCTCGGAGCAGTTCACGGCCATGTTCCGGCGCAAGGCCTTCCTGCACTGGTACACGGGCGAGGGCATGGACGAGATGGAGTTCACCGAGGCCGAGAGCAACATGAACGACCTGGTGTCTGAGTACCAGCAGTACCAGGATGCCACGGCTGACGAACAAGGGGAGTTCGAGGAGGAGGAGGGCGAGGACGAGGCTTAAAAACTTCTCAAATCAATCGTGCATCCTTAGTGAACATCTGTTGTCCTCAAGCATGGTCTTTCTACTTGTAAACTATGGTGCTCAGTTTTGCCTCTGTTAGAAATTCACACAGTTGATGTAATAATGTGGAATTCTCTAAAAATTACAGTATTGTCTGTGAAGGTATCTATACTAATAAAAAAGCATGTGTATAAAACCTAGTGGTCTCTATTGTCACTTCACATTTCATTCTTTCTCTAAATGCTTAAGTATGATGTTTCAAGGTTTAACTTGTTACTATTTTTATTGTGGTACTCAATGTTTAATTTTAATAGCAAGGTAGGATTTCTGCTTTAGTGTTTTAATTAATAACATTCCTGCTCTTTAGTACAGAGCAATGAAAATACCCATTTTGTTCACCTTTACTGGACCAAAGTATTAATCTCTCAAAGTGAACCAGGAGTAAAGAGGGATATGGGGACAAGGCAAACCTGCCCCTATTGCTGCTGTTCTTGGACATCCTATGATCTTGCAATTGAAGAACTCAGGCACGGACTTTCCCTACTTTTCTTTGACTGTGACAGATAAACACAAAAACACAAGTGAAGCTTGAATGTCTCAGATTAAAGGTACAGTATACATTAAAGATTTCTTAAAACTGGCCGGGTGTGGTGGCTCACGCCTGTAATCCCAGCACTCTGGGAGGTTGAGGCGGGCGGATCACCTGAGGTCATGAGTTCAAGACCAGCCTGACCAACATGGTGAAACCCTGTCTTTAAAACAAAAAAAGTTTTTTATTTTTTTAATAAAAATTTTAAAGTAAAAAAAAAAATAAATTTCTTAAAATCTCCAACATTAACACTACAAATACTCCAGCTAAAATTTATTTGAAAGTAAATTATAGCAGGAATTTACCTTTTAAGACAATGGTATGACTTGTCATAACTTCATGTTAGAAAATCAGATTTAATTTTTGTAGCTATTGAAGTTAGAAGCTTTATTCCTTTTTTTTTTTTTTTTTTTAAGACAAGGTCTTACTCTGTTGCCCAGGCTGTAGTGCAGTGATGCAATCACAGCTCACTGTAGCTTTGAAGTGGGCTCAAGTGATCCTTCCACCTCAGCTTCCTGAGCAGCTGGGACCACAGGTGTGTCCCACTTTGCCTGGCTAATTAAAACAAAATTTTTTTTGTAGAGCCAGAGTCTCCCTATGTAGTACAAGCTGGTCTTGAACTCCTGGACTCAAGCAATGCTCCTCCCACCCCAGCCTCCCAAAGTGCTGAGATTGTAGCCGTGAGCCACCACCTGAAGCCAGAGGCTGTTTTCAACAGGTCCTTATTCTCATTTGGTCAGGATAAGACTGAAGGGAGGTGTAGAAAGCTCAGGCAGAGCATTTCAAAGGCATCATGGTAACGGAGAAACAGGATCATGCCCCACACTGAGGAACCACCAAGACTCGTGTGCATTCTCATTGTAGGAAGTCTTCTGCTAACTTGTTGAATTCATCTGCAAAACGCAAATGCAGGTTGTGTTTGCCTTCTGGCATCAAATGCAGCCTAAAAGGGGGAAAAAAGGCTTTGAATCAATGGGACACCACTTAAGAACAAATCCCTCACTGTCCCCCACATTCATGAACATCTAAAGTGAAAAATCCCCACATTTCCCCCCATGACCACTATCCAGGAGAAAATGTAACCTATCAACCTAAGAATATAGACAAACTTCACGTGAAGCTCTTGGAGTTTATGATCACCCTGGAGGTTGACTATAAGGCAATGACTTAACAGAAGCAGACACACATTATAGTTGGAATTGAATCAAGTAACAAATGATTTGACTGGAAAACAGCCTGAGAACGGGGGAGGTGATTTGGTGGTTACTCTAGAAAGATCCATTTTAATGAAGTTGATTTTAAGAAAGAAGGTTGGTAAGATAAAAATAAGTGTCCAGAATGCACTGCGCTGGGGCCGGTGAGTTTCTTGGGGTGTCGATGTAGTGGGCAAATGCAAAGTAGAATTCACAGCCGCCCCCGGCCTGCTGCTCCAGGTTCCAAATCACCCTTCCATTTTTGGATTACTGAACTAATACATCTGAATACAAGCCGCCAGACAAATGGCTGTGAGGGTGGCCAGCCCACGCCAGCAGCCCTGTGCTCCAGGAGCCGTTGCTGCAGCTGTCACGGCTCAGTGTTGTGGCAAACACACTGTCCTCGTAAGGCTTCTTCCTTTCAATAGGATTGAGATCAAATGGGACAGGTTTACAGTTTCTTGAATAAAGGCAGCCTTCTCTTTGTTCTATATTTTACTTATTAGCTACAAAAAATATACAAACACTAAAAGTGTTAAAGTTTCTAAACTGAAAGCTTAAGCTCAAGCCGCTTTGTCTACAATGGTAACTAGACTTTAAAAGGTCAACATTGGGCAGAATGCGTTACCATGTTGCCTGATTTTTTGACTTGGAATTCTGGGGGGCTGACAGCTCAGAACCTCAATAGGCTGCAGGGAGCTGTCCTCGGAAGATGGCTGGGCCTCTTTCAACTCAGCTACCACATTTGGGGTGGGAATGGGGTACCAAGAGAATCAACTTGAAAGGAAGATATATTGTTGGGACCTTTCTGAGGGCCTTGGAAATTAATGCTATTACTAACAACCAGAACATTCTAAATTCAATTTTAACACTATCCAGAAAAGAAGGATGAATTGCACCCACCCCAAAGATAGGATCCCAGTTGCCTACACAATAGGACTTGCAGGGACACTCAAGGCCTTTGTTTTCAGAAAACAGAAAAGAACCAATTGCCAAGGATGCTGAGAGGTCACAGGTTACGTCTAGGCTAAACTGCATCCCTTAGTCTGCACAAACCTGGACTGAGGCAGGGAATCCTCAGGCTGCCACACATGAGGCCCTCCTCTGTAGGTAGCCCATCTGGCTATGATTTGCTGGTTTCCCATAAGGAAGGAAGGAGACCCTCGCTGTAAATCCTTTCTTTTTTTTTGAGATGGAGTTTCGCTCGTTACCCAGGCTGGAGTGCAATGGCGCGATCTCGGCTCACCGCAACCTCCACCTCCTGGGTTCAGGCAATTCTCCTGCCTCAGCCTCAAATCCTTTCTTTTTAGCCACTCAGCACTGTCTGTACTCTTCCTAAAGTAATCTCTAGATCTCAGGGAAATAAAAATTAGCTTCTCTTCATTAAAATATGGGAGACCTGCTCTGAATGCTGGATGGATAGATAGACAGATGGACAGACAGAAGAGAGTCTGAAGACAACTGTTCTTGTTATCTTTTGAGGGTCGTTTTAAGCTCCTTAGCACCTCTTCCTCCTTCAGGTGTGACACAGGTTTCACTGCACTGAAAAATCTATTGTGTGTTTCTCTTTGGGCACAGGACCACAATAGACAGGCATGAATATTAGCTGTCAAGGCAAGACAGGAGCTCTGTAGCTGACCTAGATTCCCACCCAAGTAACAAAACGATCTAATCACATGCTCTGTGGAGAGTGGTTTCTGAACAACATTCTCCAGAAAAACAGGTGGAAACCCCGCACTGCTAAGCACATGGCTCAGTTGGAAACGAGGGGGCCTCAGAGGATGAACACAGGTTCCTCTGCAGGCGCAGGCTCCTCATAGCACCTGGCATGATTTAGAAAGAGACAGGATTCCAGATCTTTCAAAAACTAGAAGCTGTCTCATCCCAGGGTAAATGTATCGGCCACTTTACCTCTGTTGATAGGGCTCTTCTAGGTCAAGACAGCATAGATGAAATGCCAGCCTCACAATACTACCTTTCCTGCCTCACTGGAACCCTTTTCATCTTTGGCTGAACTGAACTTTCACCTGTAACTCAGGGAGTTACCAGAGTAACAGGGCCACAAGTAATGTGTGGTGGCATGTCTTCACCTTGGACCAATGTGACAAAACTTGATCTATGAATCCATAAAATTGTCAGTAAGTCTGTAATCCGTAGAGTGCTAGTATGTACTTTTGTTTTAACTGGAACCCAAAGTAGGCTGCTGGTTCTTTGCACAGGATCTCTTCCAGTGTGAAACTGGGCAGCAACATGGAGCATCGCTTTTCCAGGCATTCCTGATGACGCCATCTAAACCTGGTTGCCAATAGCCCCTTTTTATTCAGAAACTAAGTCTTTTCCTTTTTCATTCTGCTTCTTCTAAAAAGCCCCATCTAAGAAAAAGGTACCAGGCCAGGCGCAGTGGCTCATACCTATAATCCTAGCACTTAGGGAGGTGGAGGCAGGCAGATCACTTGAGGCCAGGAGTTTGAGACCAGCCTGGTCAACATGGTGAAACTCCACCTCTACTAAAAATACAGAAATTAGCCGGGCGCGGTGGTGCATGCTGGTAATTCTAGCTACTGAGGAGGCTGAGGCAGGAGAATCACTTGAATCTGGTAGGCAGAGGTTGCAGTGAGCTGAGATCCCACCACTGCACTCCAGCCTGGGCGATAAAGCAAGGCTCTGTCTCAAAACAAACAAACAAAAAGGTAATGGTGGGCAAACCACAAGCTTCTTGCTGCTGATGAAGCTGGGGGCTGCCCTGGCTGGACAGGCTCTCCTCTGGTTAGGGCCGACCAGGCATTTGGGGATGGTGGGGGCAACATCTCACTGAAAGGCTCCTTTTCTCTAATGCAACCATGTCTCAAGCATTAGGCACAAGCAATAGATGCAAAACTGTCCTGGAGGCTGCTTTCCGTGCAGTGTGGTGGCTTGAAGAGGGCTGCTGGTGGGCCCTTAGGCTGCTGAGCTGGTGCTTTTAAGTGGTGTGTAGAGGACAGTCTTTCCAAACCTGCTGGGACTGTGGGGACCTAGTTGGGCTCTGGACTGCAGGAAAGCTTTCTTCCTGTGACAGGTGGATTCAACTGAGGTGCCATCATGGGATGAAAAAGCCATGCCTGGCTTTATGGGGCCAGGACATGTCTTGTCTAACCAGTACAGAGTCCATACTGACAGGCTACATCCATCTCCGAGTCACAATTCCTCAACTGGAGAATGGGGACAGTAATGGAATCCACCTCATAGAATCAATCATTCTGAGGATGCAATGAGATAGTAGATTCAACATAAGCAGCCTAGGTCTGTGGGCACATGGTAAGCTTAATAAATGTCTGCAGTTATTTTATTCGTATATTTGTACTGCACTTCACAATGTGCAGAATTCCTGAAGGTGTTAATCTGTACAGCATATTAATGACCGACTCGGGAGCACAATGAGTCTACATTTGTTGGCTAACACAACACCTCCAACTGGAAGCTTCTCTTAAGACAGGTTTTAATGAAACATTGCAGGTAAGATTTGTCTGGAAAGGTTCAGACCCCACTGTGTTTGAAATATTAGTACAAAGGCCTTAACTTGGTAAGCACTGGCTAATTCTGTGTGCAGTAAACCCTGCAATGAGCCCACAAGCAGTGTCTGGAACAGACAGTTTCCCCTTCCACCTGAGCAGCAGTTGAGAAGAGCTGAAAGCAGCAACTGGGAAGAGGAGGGCTGGGATGCCAGTGGTGGGGAACTGTCACCTGGGGCAGCAGCAGAGGAGAGGGCAAACCACTGCCTCTAGGTGGGACACAGTCCAGAGCGGAGGCGGCAGCCCTGCCTGCCTGCCTGTAGTGCCTGCCTCCCCATCGGAACCTGGCTTCGCTTTCCTATGGAGCTGAAAATGAACCACTGTCACTGGTGTGAATCTTTTCCACCTAAGCAAATTCATTTCACTCCAGCTAGTGGTAAGGCCTACACTGGCCTGCCTGGGAGGACTGGGGCCATCTTACCACTGGGGCCAGACCCAAACAGCCAAGGAAGCTGTTTGGGTCTGAAAAAGGCCCTTCCTTCCCTTCCATGGTCCAGACAGAGGACAGTAGCTAGCCCATTGCACAGACATCCCAGGCCTGACCCCTTGCTGCCAGCCTGCCAGCACACCCTCTGGCGAACCCAACACAAAGCCCAGACTTCTACAGAGATGGCACCCATCAGCCCTTCTCCCTGTGACGGTGTACTTTGTGTCAACTTGACTGGGTTACAGTGTACCCAGATATTTGGTCAAACATTATTTCTGAGTGTGTTCACGAGGGTATTTCTGGATAGGTTAGCATTTGAATCCACTGATTGGGTAAAGCAGAGGCCCTCCCCAATGTGGTGGGTCTCGTCCAATCTGCTTAAAGCCTGAGTAGAGTAAGAAGGCTGAGAACAGGGAATTCCTCCTGCTTGATGGCCCTCAATCTGGGATGTTGGCTTTTCCTACCTTTGGACTCAGGCTGAAACATTGGTTCTTCCTGGGCCTCAAGTCTCCTGGCTTTCACACTAGAGCCACACCATTGCCTCTCCTGGCTGTCAGGCCTTCAGACTTAGACTGGAACCATGTCTTTGGCTCTCCTGGGTCTCCAGCTGGCCAACTCACCCTCCAGACCTTGGGACTTGTCAGCTTCCGCAACTCCAGGAACCAATTCCATATAATGCACTTCTTTCTTTCAACCTATATATACATACACACATATACATCTTGTTGGCTCTATTTCTTTGGAGAACGCTACTATGCCCCTATACCTACACTAA